AGAGAGAGAGAGAAATTTAAATTATGTGGACCAAGATAGTACATGTTCCCTTTACTTAAAGGGCCAAAAGATAAATTTATGCTATCATTTCCAGGCTTTTATATACGTGACCAAGCTACCCTCTTTCCCTCTTTTCAGGTTTAGTCACTGTTGCTTAACTGCATATCTATTTCAAAAGAAGTTATCACAGCTTGGCTTGAGGCATCAATGCTCTCCTGTTCAGACTCCAGTCCAACAGCTCTCTCTCCAAACTGATGTGGATAATAAAAACTCTACATAAGACTAAATCTCCTGAGTTTCTAATTTCTCTATCAATAAGGTAAAAATTTATTCTTTTGGCCATTTATACATAATTGCTATGTACAATAAAGCACAGATTAACCAAAATATTAAAGGATGTAGAATTCTGGTTAAACTCTTTGATATAGTTTAGGGGTTAATAGAAAATACCTTATTACTAGCCTTGCCTATGATTAAGTCTTTCTATGCTTCCAAAGCCATTGTTCTACCTTACTCAACAGGTTTAGCCAACATAACGAAACACAGCTTGCTACCCTCAAGGCACTTCTCTGAGGGTTATTTTGTTCAAAGTAACTTTCAACTAATTCCTGCACAGTATTTTCCCAGTCTCTGTTGTCTTCTCAATTATGTATTACAATATCACTGATTCTGTATAAGACTTTTTTTTAATGGCCTAAATTCACTGAATAAATAACAGTATTTTCCCCTATGAAAAACAGCACCATTATTTTTAAAAAGTTAAGTAAGCCAACATGGTTATAAGACATTTGCAGGTAACAGAAAATATGGCTAATTCCTGATTTGGAAATGTAGAGAATTTTAACTTTAATATTGAAATCAGCTAGACATTTTCAATATATAGTTCACTTAAAGGATTTCCGGGACTGGTGCAATTCAGATATAGGCAAAAACAATAAATGTAGTTTATATCATGTTCCAAAGAAAAATCATGATGAAGAAATAATTCAGAACGTACTAATATCAATGCAGGATTAAACCACTGACAAAACATAATCCCATCCTTAATATAAATTCCAGTTTCATTTTTATTTCACTTAGGTATCCTAAAAATTTCTGGGAATACAGGCTAAGTATTGCTTGCCCAAGATGTATGGGACCAGAAGTGTTTCTAACTTGGGATTTTGTTTTTCAGACTTTGGAATATTTACATAGACACTACTGGTTGGAAATCCTTAATGTGAAAAATTCAACATCTGAAATGCTTCAAAATGTGAGATCTGAGTGTTATTTTGGCATCTAAAATGCTTCAGATTTCAGAGTACTTTGGATTTTGGATATTCACATTAGGGATACTCAATGTGTATCAGCATTTACTCATCTATATTTGAAGACTTTTTCATACAGCCCTTAAATTAGCCAATCCCAGTGAGGGCATGCAGCTCAATGGTAGATAACTTGCATGGCATGCTATGGGACTCTGGGTTTGATCCTCTGCATGGTAAAGGAAAAAAAAAAAAGTCTATCTCCTAACATGTCTATTTCTTCAATCATTTGAATTTTGCCACTGGTATGCTACCTTTTCTTTCAAGGAAGCAAGATTTTTACCAAATGCAATCATAATCAATAGTAACAAGACAACAAAAAGATGTTAAAACCCATTAGGTTTGGTTTTATGCTAGTATTTAGCAAGCTGCTTTTACTCAGAATTTGAGTAAAGAGAGTTATATTTTACTGCTGAAAGTATTTCAAAATGTCTTTGTTCACTTTAGCCACATACATAGAGAAACAGCTGCGCTTAGATTTGTTGCACTCAGATTGGTGGTTAATATAATCAGGTTAATATGTTAAAAAAAACTTGACACAGAAATTATTAATGAGTAGAACAAGGTCACTACTTCTGAGCTGAGGTCACTTACAAAGAATGCACAAACGAAATTAAGGTTGACTTTTATTTACTTGACTATCTTCTTACATTAGATTCCTTTGGCAACATATCTTTAAACATTTAAAGCCCTGTTTACAAGGAGGCTCTGAAAGAAGCTTCAAACCATTATGCCCCTAATTGAATTCCCCAGGAGTCCAGTAAACTCAGAGGAATAAAGAAAAATCATAACATTTGCTAAATCATCTCAAAACATATTTCACTGCAAGGTTATGTGACCTGTTTTTTGAGGTTCAAAGATGAGTAAAAATATTACTGAATACTTCATTATTTAGACTGAAATCAAAAAGAACTTTACCTATTAGTGATAAGCTAATTAAATCATCCAGTTTGAAAAATTTTTCCAAGAGAAATTTGTCAACAAACAATAACAATATTTGATGCTGTATTGGACCGGTTTTCTAGACTATGGAGGCTCTCAGGAGGAACAAAGATCATTAACCAAAGACAATTATTCACTGTAAGGGTATCAAAGAGAACTGACAAAACTTTTGCAGTCCCCAGGGAAAGAAGAATCTTATCTGTGAATTCAGAACAGATAAAATGGAAAAAGAGAAAGGAAAAGTTTTAGCAAATGATTTATTACACTGCTTCTTCCTTCCATTTCTGATTCCACTTTAAAATGTGCTTTGATGATCTTTGTATTCACAGTTCCTTGTATGGTCCCGTGACTCCTGAGCAAAAATATGTGGATCTGAACATTTCCAAAAGAATGTGAAATCTCTCTCTACTTACCTGGTTTGTATGTTATTCCAGGGGGGAAGAGGAATCCCTGTTGGGCAGCAGCAGCTGCTGCCAGGGTCCGCTGGTCATGTGGAAAAATTGGGATCATGAGCGGAGGCATGTGACCCTGAACCTGCTAAACAGAAGAGAGCCTATGATCAGACAGAGAGCAAATGCATGCCAAGAAGTATTTGTTTTTCACTCCTGGTGGGGTCCTGATACCTACACAGTCACCCATCCCTCACCTCTTTCCAGATCTGCAAGCTGGAAAAATTCAGGGAAAATCCTCCCAATCCCTTTTCTTAGATGTCACTAGCATATCAGGGACATAACTTCACTGTAAATTTTCCTCATCCTTGCTTCTTCAAGATATTTTTTAATGGTTTTCTTTTCTCTTGATTTATTTGCATTGTATTTTCTTTTAAATGAAGACTTAACAGAAATAAGTTTGCTTCTTTGCTTCCAGTACGATATTGGGAGCTTCTGCCCTTTTGCCTGCTTTATATTTTGTGCTTTATTTTAAGAACAGTATTTAGTAATCCTGGTCAGAAAATAACATCTAATTGTCATATGTTCCAAAAGCTGTATCTCCCAGTTAAGGTATCTTATTTCAAAGCCTCGCTCCATTATATTAAGCATGCAGTGCCTCAGATTTAAGGCTACTACATCTTGGCTCCCAATTAGACTAATATTCTTTGCCATACACACCTCGACATAACATATAAATTGCTTGTCTGGCTAAGCAGTTTTACAGCTTTATGCACTACCATGTAGCTCAGTAATTATGGAGTTGTATTCAGAGAGCATTTCATAATAAATCCTACTATATCAAATTTCATTTGACCTCAATAAAAGTATCAAAGAGCACAAAAATGCAAAATGGGAAATCTTCACTCTATATCAGTATTTGTAATCCATATAAAAAATAAGAGCTATGACAGAATCATGCTGGTGAAAATTACATTTTAATTTTCTAGCTCCCTTCTTTACTCTATGATTATTGCTTGACTCCAGGATAATGTGACAAGAAGGTTTTGTCCTGGAATTTAGGACATAACTTTATAGGTTGACTTATAGGATTTTTTTCATTTAAAGATCAAAACTAAGATGTACCAACAGAAGCAATCTTTTAGTACAGTTAAGGTCTTTGGCATGAAAGAGCTATGTGATAACCTATTTAAGATGTAAACCTTTATCCCCAAACCCTCACCCTGACTAAATTTCTAAATCTCTTCTTTAGGCAAAATTCCACATACTAGCAGATGACCCTGTTTAAATAGCATCAACGTGCCTTAGCCTGTCCCTGTTCCCACCACAGCCAGGGACATATTGAAAAAATGCTTTATGTGGGTCTAAAAGGTTTCATTTACCAAGAGTTTTTCTCTAGGGACATCCCTAAGATGTGGGTTAATAAAGGGCAAGCAAAAAGTAAACACTTTACAGTATTTTTCTAAATTCATTTCTCAGGAAAATCAACTTATAATAAAAAGGTCTTTGTGCAATTACTACCTTGCCAGTGGGGCGTGAAAGAAACTAGCTTTGAGCAGCTATTTCTTCTATTTTAGCTGAGGTAAGCCTAAGTTTTGTACATTAGAGTATAAACTTAGCTTGCTTAAATTGGAGCTGATCCCCCAGTGCCCAGGTCTTGCCTTTAACCCTGGAGAAAAGCACTGGGCTCACTGTTTAACTGTAGGTTGCTATGACCTGCTACAAACCTGAGATGCCCAAGATGATGGCATTGTTCTATGCCAGAAAATAAGACACAGTATCTTTACAGGTGATCATGGGTTACTGTAAGAGTACATCAAAGGAAATAATTTCATTGTCTCTAGAAACATGGTCCTAGCATGCCCTTAGGATGCAGTGCAGATACTCCACACTCGAGAGAAAAGGGACAAGGAAGTAGTGAGGCATCTGAATATCATATTTTTATTCTTTTCTTCTTTCATTTAATAAACATTTATTAAGTTGTTATCTGTTGAGATCTTAAGAAATACTTGAAATTCAGCTCAGTTGAGAGAAAACATCAGGTTTCTGCAAATGCAGATGATTTGTGAAAGAAGGATCAGATTAAGGCTTACTTGTTACAGAGGAGACAACTGGGTTCCTAAATCAATTTAAGTTTAATACAAAGAAGAACTCTCTAATAGTAAGTTTTTCAATAGCCATTCTGATTAATGAAAGTGTGCGCCTTTCTCTCAAGGTGGTCAAGTAAACCTGTAGATCTCTGTGTATCAGACATGTTTTACATAAAGTAGATGATGAAAAATTAGGTAACAAACTGTACAGTCTTCTCAACTTTATAATTTTACGATGGCATAAGGGTCAGAAGCAAAGTGATTAGTGTGTTGCAGTCATTCCTTTATTATTCATTCATTCAACACATTTATTTAGAACTCATAATGCCATTAACAAATCTGATATTAATTCACTTGGCATTTCCTTGACTGTGCGATCTTCAACAGTTATTTAACCATTCTGAGCCTATTCCTTTTGTAAAATCTCACACTCATTAAATTGCTTATATGATTATTGTAAAGATTAAATAAGTAAAGCTGCAGCATAGTGCCTGACATAATATTAATGATATGGTAAATATTGTCTGTTTTTTCCTATATAGTTTATATATTCTATACCAGAAAATTATCAACTACTGATTTTAAAGAAACAGTGGATCTTACACATAATTCTACTTCAGGAAGGAAAACATGAGCCAACTAAATAATTTGGCTTGGCATGCAGAGGCTTGTCATGTTCTTAGCAAACACAAAGCTTCACAGAACATTATCCTATCCTCAGTATCTATAAAACTATGAAAAAAGAGGTGGGATCATTTGAATATGTAATTTGGGTTCTTTGGTGTCATTCATTAAATAGCAACTTAGAATGAAAACAAATTTATTTTTACACTGATTGCTAAAATTCTTTGGATGACAAAACAATGTAAGGTGATAAATGGCAATTAGGAACCAGAATTTAAGTCTTGAATCTGGATGCCTGTCTGAAGATATTTCTTAAGTAACTGTTCATGTCCATGGGAGAACTGTCTAGGGTCATTTTAATGTCAAAAGGATATAGATATTTCATATTAACAAACTAAGCTAGAGAGGCTGGTTTAGACCTTTAGAGAGGCTGGTTTCTATCCCCATACCTAGCAAGATTGGACCCAAGAATCTAAATTTTAGTTCAGAATTTAATCTACAGCAGTGATTCTCGGGTTTAGGTTTGTTTTTATTTTTCTTTTGTGTTTTAGGGAAGGGTCTACAGGGTGTTCAGGGTCTCACTACTAGATCAGACTCATAGTGATAGCCCTATTTACAGCCTCCCAAGAGCTGGGATTACGGGGGCGTGCCACCACGCCCAGTCTCAATTGCCCTCTCAGCAAGCCCTGGGGGCAGGACCAGCATGTCAGGGGTGGGGGGATAGAACTTCGGGCCCCTGCTTGCAGGCGCTTTAATCTGCTGAGCTATTTGGCAGGCCCTTACAGCAGTGATTCTCCAACTCAGAATCTACCAGTGGGCAAATAAAAAATAAAACCAAAAAAAAAAGCAAAATATAGTTTGCTAGGCCTCACCCTCGAAGAATTTGCCAAATCTGAGGTGGGACCCACAGTAGACAGTCCTAACAGGCTGTAGTGAGACACTGGGCCTGCTGCTGACACAGGCACCATTGTTCGAGAAGCATGACTCTAGCCTACATCTCACAACTTACACACAGAAATAGATGGCTAGAGAAGTTAGAAGATTGGAGCTTAAGGTTACTTCACTTGTAACAGAGTTGGAACTACAATCCAGAGTTGTAAATTACCCCACACAGTGTTTTTCTCTTTGTATCACATGGGCTTTGTAACAGAGAAGCAAGAAAGTAGTTGTGTACAGTTTTACCACAGAAAACTTACAGGTCTCCAGCTGATATCCATTTGTATGTTGCGGGTATGTTGTGAGAGGTGATTCTACAGTTGAATACTGACCAATTTTAAATAAAATCCTCCTTCCCTTTCTCTTATTTTTACCAGAACATACTTATTCCTAATGTCTACTGTAATTAATTCTAAAAGCTTATTGAAATACAGTCATCAGCAATGATAATTTAATTACAAATGATAAAAATATCCTTAACTTATTTGAAATCAAACAATAATGTGAAAAGTCAAACTGCCCTTTATTGCAAACAAGTCTAAATATCCGGCAGCTAGTTAGAATTGAGCTCAAATGCAAATGATGAGAAGCTCCTCTTTTACATCTAATTACAGAAAGTCCTAATAGCAATAATGGTGATAAGAACAACCACCACAGCTAGTATTTTTAATTATTTCCTATATGATCCGCCATGGAAGATCCTCAAAACACTATGAAAGAAGAAATTCATTAATAAGAAAAGCAAAGCCTTAAGAAGTTAAGTAACTTCATTAATTAAAAAGTTGTGGGTTCAATATTGAAGTCAAGATCAGGGCTAAAGTTTGTATTTTGTCAGGGTCAAGTTTCTATTTTTAGACACCATATTATATTAGACATAAAATAATCTTTTTGCTTATCCAATTCAGATATGGAATGCAATTCTTAATGATAACAATTATTGACTTAGAATTTTATAAATAAATTTGTAGGTTTATATCCAGTTGTAATAAACAATATAGTGAGATCACAGCCACTACTCACCCAGGTTCTCCAATGGTAACATCTTGCAAAACTGTACTATAATATCATAGCCAGGATACTGACATTGATACAATGCAACAATCTTATTCATATTCCTCCAGTGTATTAGAGAGACTGTCCTAAAAATTTAACAAGGATGACAAGTGGCTATGAACACTTCCCAGTACTGCCTTCCATGAATGCCTGGCAATATGTCCTAAAGCAAGCAACATGAGTGGAAAGTATGAATTAAAACTATTTCTCCATCATAATTCTGCATTTATTGTGCTTACTAGAAAACTGTTGCTCAAATGTGGGACAGAGACAGAAAGAGAGAGCAAGGTGAGGAGAAAAGATAAGGGGAGAGGGTATGGTATTCACACAAGAATCATATGAGCCTCCAAAATATTTCCTCCTTATTGAAGTTGTCTATTAAGCTCATTACCCTCAGGTACCAGTGGTTAGGGCAGATAAAGAATTTTGAAGAGGCAGTCAAATA